ATTATTCAGTTATAAAAAGAAATGGGCTATCAAGCAATGGAAAGACACAAAAGACCTTAAGTGCATATTATTAAGTGAAAGAAGCCAGTCTGAAAAGGATACATACTGTATAATTCTAACTATCTACATTCTGGAAAAGGCAAAACTATTGAGACAGCAAAAAAGGCAAGTGATGGAGAAGGGAGGATGAATGGGCAGGACACACAGATTATTTTTAGAGCAGTAAAACTCCTCTATATGACACTGCAGTGATGGACACATGTCCTTACAAATTTGTCTAAACCCATAGAACTTACAAAACCAAGAGTGAACCCTAATGTAAACTATGGACTCTGAGTGATAATGATGTGTCAGTATAGGTTCTTCAGTTGTAACACATGTACTACTCTAGTAGGAAATGTTAATAAGAGCGGGCAGGGGAAAGTAATAAATGTGTTGCGGCAGGGTGTATATAGGAAATCTCTGTACCTTCCTCTCGATTTTGCTGTGAACTTAAAACAGATCTGAAAAATAAAATCTATCTAATAAAAAAAAAAGTAAATTAAAAACTTTTTCAGACATACAATAGTTGAAAGAATCCATCACCAGCAAATCCATACTACAAGAAATGTTAAAGGAAATCCTTCAGGGAGAAATATTGGTAAATCTATGATAGAAATATGAATCTATACAAATGAACGAAAAATACCAGAAATGGTAGCTATATAGATAAAACATGCAATTTCTTATTTTTAAATCTATGTAAATGATAATTGACTGCCTAAACAACAATAATAATTAGCTATGTAGTTAGGGGTTTATAACATACTTATAAGTAAAAAACATGACAAAATATAATGACTAGAAGTCAAAAATGGAAGTATACTATTGTAAAGTTCCTATATTATATATGAAGTGGCATAATATTACTTGAAGGCATACTGTGATGAGTTAAATATAGATACGATAAATCTTAAAGTAATCATTAAAATAATAAAGCAAAAAATCATAGCTGATAAATCAGCAAAGGAGACGAGAGAAAATCATAAATGCTACCCAATTATTACAAAAGAAGGCAGAAAATAAAAAAGGGAAAAGGGAATAAAAAACAGGTAGGGCAATAGCAATATGGTAGATTTAAACTTTATCAACACTCACATAAAATATAATGTTCTAAATACTCCAATTAAAAGGCAAATTTTGTTATATTGGATACAAAAGCAAAACACAATTACATTCTTCCTATAGGAAATGCACTTCAAATATAAAGATACTAACAGATTAAAAGAAATGACAAAGAGAGATATACCATGGCAAAACTGATAAAAAAAAAAAAAAAACTGGAGTGATTGCAATACTGGACAAAATTGAGGCCAGGGAAAAGAATAATACCTGGGATAAAGAAGTTTACTTTAAAAGATAAAAAGGTGAACTCATAAGTAACACCTGATGTGCTAAATAATTTTGCACTTGAGAACTTCAAAACACATTTTAAAAAAAAAAACTAAGTTTCAAGGAGAAATAGAAAAATCCACATACAGTAGAATATACAGATGTCAAATGATAATGTACACCTAAAATTACATAATTGTATTAACCAATGTTACTCCAATAAATTTAAAAAAAAAAAAGAAAATAAAAGAAAAATTCACAATTGTAGTTGGTTTCAATACTCTCTTTAAATAATTAATCAAATAAATACATAGGAATTCAGGATATAGAAAACAAACAAAAAAAACCAACACTACAATCAACTTGACCTAATTGACATTTACAGAACATTCTACCCAACTACAGAAGAATATACATTCTTTTCAAGTGCATGTAAAATATTTACCTATATGCCACATTCTGCACAAGAAAACATTATAAACTTAAAATTATTCAAGTCATAAAAAATATGTTCCATGACCGTAACAGTATTAACTAGAAATCAATGAGAAATATCTTTGAAACATCCTCAATTATTTGGAATCTAAATAATATACTTCTAAATATCCAAAAAAGTCAAAGAAGAAATCAAATTTGAAATTTGAAAGTATTTTGAAATGAATGAAAATGAAAACACAGCCTATCAAAATTTACAGGCTACTACTAAAGCAGTATTTTGGGAAAATTGAAAGAACTAAAGAAAAAAGGTATCAAATCAAAGAGCTCAGATTTCACCTAAAATATAGTTTAAAAAGAGCAAATAAACCCTAAGTAAGAAGAATAAATGCAATAATAAAAATTAGTGCAGATGTTTTAAAAAAACAAAAAACAAAAAACAGGAAAATAGAAAACTCGATGAAATTAAAACCCGTCTTTTGGAGATAAATAACATGATGAACATCTAACCAGGGAGATGAGGTAAAAAAGAAAGAAGGCACGAATTGACAGTATTAGAATTGAGAGGGGGATATTACTATAGACTATGGATATTAAAAAATTATTAAGGAAAGTTACAAAAAAATTATTTAATAGTGACTTTTACATGGGTGAATTTTATGGTATGTGAATTGTATCTCAATCAAGTTGTTAAAGAGAAATAAAGGAACATTATGAACAACTTTATGGCAATAAATGTGAAAACTTAGGTCAAATAGGCAAGTTCTTTGAAAGACACAAACTAACAAAGCTCACTTAAGAAGAAGCTGATGACTTAAATAACCCTAGATCTATTAAAGACATTTCATCTATAATTAAAAATCTACCCAGAAAGTAATCACAAGTCACAGACGGCCTCTCTGGTGAATTGCACCAAGGAATTGAGAAACAAATAACAAATTCTACATAAAATCACCCTAAAATTAAACAGGAAATAATACTTCCCAACATTATGAGGCCAATATGCCCCTGATACCAAAACCTGGCAGACATTACAAGAAAAGGAAGTTATAGACCAGTATCTCTCATGATCATAAATGCAAAAATCCTCGACACAATATTACCATATCAAATCCTACAATATATAAAAAGAACAATATACATGATCAAATGCAATACTGTTTCAATGTTCACAAATCAATGTTCTCTACCATATTAACAGTATGAGGAAGAAAAAAAATGACACAGTCTTATCAATAGATGCAGAAAAATCATTTGATGAAATCCAACATCCATTCCTAATAAAAACTCTTAGAACTAGAAATAAAGGGAACTACCTTCACAGATTAAAAAAACGACTTCAAATAATTTGCAGCGAACATTATTCTTAATGGTAAAAAACCAAATACTCTCCTTTTCAGACGAGGAATGAGACATGGATGTCAACTCTCACTATTTCTATTCAACATTGTACTTGAAGTTCTAGGCAGTGCAATGAGGAAAGAAAAAGAAAGAAAAGCATCAAGATTAGAAAATACAAGAACAAGTAGAACTGCTTATAGCCAACATGACTACCTACATAGAAAATCCAGTGGAATCTACAAAGAGGTACTATAACTAATAAATGAATTTATGAAGGTGTAGGATAAAAGACCAATATGTAAAAAACAATTTCCATATTCTATCAACAATAAGAATTTGAAATTTAAAAAAACCACAAAAACAATTACACTCGAATAGACATTTCCCCCAAGAGGACATACAGATGGACAACAGACATGTGAAAAGATGCTCAACATCACTAATCACAAGTGAAATACAAATTAAAATCACAATGAGATAATATAATTTTTATAAGTTAAACCAAAAGCAAAGAGAAAAAAGTTTCTATGGTAAGCTAATTTAACAGGAAGTATTATAATCAACATCTGGGAATATGCTGGGGCTAAATTAAAAAATGCAATAATAATTTTTTTAATTGATGAGAGTGTTGAAAAGTTATAGTTTATTTATATTTACTTTTAAAGATTACTCTAGCAGAAACATCTCCTTCATCTAATTAGGGCTTCATAAGTCCTATTATATTAATAAAAGACTCATTTAAAAAAAAAATTCAAATCTGGTTTTACAGTCTGACAATTGTTTTACTCTTGGCTTCTGATTATTCACATGTATTTCATAGATTTAATAGAAGTTTAAAAATGTAATTCTAATTTATGTTTCTTACTTTTAACATTTATTGATTATTTTGTATCAGGGGAAATCTGAGATATAAACACCTAACATTTTGCAATACTTTAACTAGCACAGAAAATTAATTTACATGTTTAAAATTACCATTCAATGTAAACTGAATACAAACAAATTTCATCTTTTCTCACCACATTTCTGTATTTTATGTGGACAGAGAATTGATTATGCAGTGCATAGGAAAGAGTTCCAAAAGTAAAATATAACTCTCTCATAAATTGCCAAGTATTTTATGTACACTTTTTATATGAAATATTGTGATTGTGGGCTAGAAGCTAAAGGTTATATTCAGCAGTAAAAAATGTATCTATCGTCTATCTTCAAGGAGTTTATAATCTAATAGAGGAAATAAGATGAATACATAGTACTAAAATCGATAGAACAGATTAAAAAAATAGTAATGTAATTAAGTGGCCAATGAGTAATCTCTGTGAGTTCAGAGGAGCCACAGTGGTTTGGGATGCTTTCCATATGACGATGAGATAGAAATTTATCACATCGTACCATAATTGCCTATTTACTTGTCAGATTCCCCATTACAATGTAAGCTCCTTAAGAGCAGAAACCTTGTCTTATTAGGAGCTGAGCGCTAAAGACATAGATGTCCAGCTCAATGCCTGCACATAGCATGCACCCAGTAAACAGCTGATGAATAAGTTCTGAATAATACGACAAACTTTAAAGGATTTAGGCGTGTAGGATTTGAATACGCAAATAAGGCAAATCAACTTTTGGTCAAGCTACTAATGTTAAGCAAAAGCACATAGTTGAAAAAAGAAAGAGTGGCCAACATTCTTGGAGGGTAAGATGCATGGTCAGATGAAATAGAACTGAAGGGGCTAATGCAACCCCAGTTGTGACTGAAGATAATAACACCAATTTGGTTAAAGAAGACCTAAGCCAGGGTATGGACGATGGAGAAAGTAACAAGTTATAACTAATCTCCATTATAGAGAACAAACTGTGCTCACTTCGAGAGGAGATACGAAAACTGGAATGAAACAGAGAAGACTAGCATGGCCCTTAGGAAAGAATAACATGCAAATTCATGAAGTGTCCATATTTTATAAAAAAAGAACTTCCAGCACGTGTGGACTGAGATGACCGGAATCATAAAGACATGTAAAAATCAGAGATGATCAAGCCTTCCAGTTTGGATAACAGGAAATACAGCAGTGCCTTTCCAACATAGGATGGGAGATTAATTTTGATAAGAAAATTATGAGTTATCTTTTACTATTAAACTTAGAATTTTTTTCATATCAAACAAGATAGTTTAAGGAGAAATTGTGAAATTTCACAACAAATCATTGGAGAAATCACAATTAGAAATATTTTCCTACAAAAAACATAAATCACAGCTTTTGGCTGAATCTGGAAGACAGGTCTGAGCTGTAGCAAATATTCATAATATTTAAAGAAACTGGAAAGAAAAGGAAAGACCAAGGGAAGAAGGACACTCAGGATGTTGCAGCACTTACGGGGCTAAAGAGCGGTCTGAAGGTAGGGGTTGATAACAGTGCAAATACTTCCAGAAAGTTAAAGAGAAAGATCTGACCACCGTGGAGGACAGCAGTTACCTCTGAGAATTTATTTTAGGGGTGAACATCAGATTCCCAATTTTGAAGGAGAACAAACAGTGAAGAATTTCACCCAACATAATGTGTATATAGCACTGTCTCAAGAAGTGTAAACATATATATATATATATATAGAAAAATAGTGCTTGGTAA